AGGGGAGGGGGAAGTGGGAGGGGTAGGGGAGGGGAAAGAAGGGAAAGGAATTAATGTGAGAAAATTTAAAAAATGGAAACGAAGTCTTTGTGGATGAGGAGGGATGGAGGGGTTGAAGGGAGGGCAGGGGAGGGGGGATAAAATAAAAACCAAGAGAGTATGTACAGGTGCATATCTCCAATGATGAATGTCATTATATTATATTGTACACCTGAAATGTACTGATAAAAGGATATACAAAAAAATAAAAAGAATAATAATAATAAATCAGCATGGATGACCATGTACGTACCACACGGCTATGCAAGGTTGTGAGGCTGTTTTGTCTAACTGTGACTCCAAAAAGCTGATAAAGACAAGCAGCTCTTCAGCCCTAGGGCTGCAGCTCCAACTCTCATATTCTGATGCTGCCCTGATGCTGGAAATAAAAGTTGATTCCTCCTTTTTTTTGTAATCTCGGCTCAATGTGTGTTCTTTTCTTTGGGAACCTCACCTGACTGGACCTCCCTTCAGCCCACCGGCCCAACACCTCGGGACACACACAAACCATGTCCAAGCCATAGCAGCACCTTAGCAAGGATAATGCCTTTTGCAGTGAAATGATAAGACAGAAGAAAAGGACTTTGAGCTTCTAGGAGTGGCAAATTGTGACCAGTATAGACCATAGTACAGTGATCAATCCTCTCATTCTAGATATTATGCACCTATTGATGCCATAGTTTTAAGGATGATAGTGTGCATGGCATCAGAAGCAAGTATTGACTGATGCCAAATATAGGTAATGGAGGGACAAAAAAGAGGAAATCAGTTGTCTTTTAAAAAGCAAAAGCTATTAAATCATTTTTGTGAAATGTTTGTTATTGATGTCTAGTTGTCACACAGCACAATAACAGCTGTTGTCAAAACCTGAAGGGCTGCCAAGCAAATGAAGGATTTGTCAGATTACATTTGCCATGCATTGGATTTGACAACATCAGTTAACTCTAGATAAGTGGTCTCAGTCTTCATCATGCGTGGGCTCATTGTGTTCGTAACAGATAATTTCTGAAGGCTCAGTGATTTAACACAATGAAAGTTTATTTCTTTACTATTCAATGTGGGACTCCTGTATGCGTGGCTGGCTGTGTCCTAAGCAGTTTGAAGGATCTGGCCTCTTTCCCTGCCATTGTCAATTTTCAAAGCTGCCCTGGGGATGAGGGTTGAGGGGGGAGCTATTAAATTTAATTAGCCAGAGGGAGAAAGAGCATGGCTGGTCATCCAGGGGAAGATTTTAGGGCAACGTGTGGGTGTGAAAGACTTCATTTCTGCCTGTAATACTTTGGCTAGGACTCAGTCACAGACCACACTAACCACAGAAAAGCTAGGAAATATAGTTGTTGGAGCTCAGAAAATGATACTTTCAAGTATGCTTTGACAGGCTGAGCACCTTGAGTTACAGGAAATTGGAAGCTTTTCATAGGTGCCTTAGAATCAGTCTCTAACTTTCCCCTGTTTCTTCTCATTAAGCAGGAGGAGAGTGCTATCCGAAGTTTCCTTATCTGATTGAAGGAAGTTCTTCTAAAAGAAACACAATTATCTTAGACTTCCTCTCTAAAATCTCATTAACCAGGGAAGATAAACTCATAGAAAAGAAGACTAAAAAGTCTCCGCCTTTTATACTGAATAGTCATCTATATCATCTATTCTTCTAAATACTGTCACCTGTGAGATTTTGTATACTCAGACACCTTTGTTTGAAGTGGGTAGCTTGTTAACATCTCCCCACAGCCCTAAGGAAACTTGCCCCAGGCCACAGTCTGTTCCGTGAAGCACATTCTTTGCTTTTAAAAATCATTTACTACCCCTCTAAAATGACCCCCACCCACCCATTCCCCTTCCCTCTATGAAAAGAGTATTTTAGTTTTAACCATCTGGCCCTTTGCGTTTCAGATTCTGATATGAACTATTATTTGAAACTCATTTCACAGGCAAGTATGGCTCCTATGTACATGTACCTACTAATAGATTTGTATGCATTTTCTCCTGTTAATCTATCTGTTGTCAGTAATTTTTTTCAGCAGAATCAAACCTCCAGAGGAGGAGGGGAAATTCCTTTCACTTCTACATGTGGCAGACCACCATGACCAAAGTTAGAGCAGGCTGCCATATGGAGCAGGCATTTCCCCCTCATAATTGGCTATAATGTTCTTCGGGCTGGACCAAAGCCTACATGACTCACAGTGAAGGAGGAAACAGTGAGAACCCCAGACAAGTAACCCTTTAACACAAAGATAGAAGCAAAAAGTGACTTTTAATGATGCTGGCAGCTCAGCAAGTGACTCCTGTCAGTCTCAAGAGCCCTGAATAGAAGTTTTTTGCTTCCTTATATACCTCCTTTTATATCTACTAAGCTTAATTCCACTGGAGTTTCCCTGGGAATACAGCAAGCAGGATTTACACAAAGCAGAGGAGTGGAGGGTGGGGGGAGAGCTAAGAGTTCTGTCAGGACTTTCTGAGTCTGTTATGCTTGTTTGGTGACAGATTACAGAAGTTGTCATGGCTACTCAGGTACATTCTACAAAGAGCATAGTTACCTAATTAACCCATAGCTGCCTAATAACACAGTTAACCCATAATTACACATTCCATATGGAGGGAGGTTTCCTCTCTCAAGAGGAGCAAGTCAGATGGCGCTATGGGCTCATACAGCTTCTGTGCCAATGGCTGCTGTGGTGATCTAAGTCTTGATCTGTGAACCTGCAGGGCTCCTAGTGAGATAACACTGTAGCCAAAGACCATGGGGCTCCAACCTACATTCCATCCCCAGTCAGATGATATCATTGGATGTCACATGACTCCCTCTACCCTATTCTTCCCCATGCCTGTGTAATAAATAAATACCGATGGACCTGGTTGTTTGTGGTCCTTGCCACATGTTCAGCCTCATCATCACATGTTCGGTGTGACCCATCCTAGATCCTCGATATCTGTTTAAGTCTTGTTTCTGTGTCTTTCTTTTGCCTTGCAGCAAATTGGGGCTCAAGGCCAGGGACACTATACTACATAGTCTATGTCTGTGTGTAAGAAAAAGAATCTATTTCTTGGCCCCTAACAATCCTATGTGGAGGTTCTTGGATGGGGACCAACGAACATCTCAGTATTGTCCTGCAAATAATAATATGTGGCCTGAAAGGGGCTTAGGGAACTCCAGGGGTCTATGGACCATACTTGGAGACTACTGACCAAGGACATCAATTGACCATGGGTGAACTTAACTTACAAAACTCCAGTATGACAATAAAAGAATATACAGTTATCTTTTGCCTTTAAATATTTCACATTCAAGGTTCATTATGGTTTGGGTCTAAAATGTCCTCCTAAAACCTCATATGTTGAAGGTGTGGTCCCCAATACAGCAGTGTTCAGAGTGGGGACTCTGAGGGGTGATTGGATCATGGGGTCTCTGACCTCATCGATGCATTAATCTTTTGGTATATTTATAAATTAATGCACTATTGAGAGATGGTGGAAACGTTAGGAGATGGAGCCTAGTTAGAGGAAGTAGGCCACTGGGAGGTGCCCCTGAAAGTTATATTTTAGCCCTGGCCCATTTCCTCTTTCTTCTTCCTCTCCTCCTCTTCCTCTTTCTCCTCCTCCTCCTCTTCCTCTTCTTCCTCCTCCTCCTCTTCTTCTTCCTCCCTCTCTCTTTCCCTCTCTCTCCTTCTTCCCCTCCCCTCCCCCTCCCTCTCCTTTCTCCCCCAGCAGCCATGAGACGAGTAGCTTTGCTTTATCACATCCTCTGCCTGCCATGATATTCTGCATTGCCACAGGTATAAAAGCAACAGAATTAGCCAACCAGGACCAAAGCCTCTGAAACTATGAGCCAGAAAAAAAAAATCTTTCCCCTTTATCAGTAGATTTTCTCAGATATTTTGTCACAGTGACAGAAAGCTGAGTACTACAGTGCTAAAATGCACTTCTGCAGTTCTCATCCTTCCCCAGGCTCAATCCTAAATTTGAAAGGCTGCACATGGCTTCGCCCTCTCTATGTCAAAGGCTCATACAAGTGACCGTGAAAAGGGCAGTTGTGCTTCTCAGTCCTGGGCCCATCTGGATGCTGTGCACATGTCTGTGGACACTCACTCCTTTAAGTTCAGAATATGAGTGCCTCAGGCCAGATCTCAGCTGCCGTCCCTGCTAACTCGCTTCTCACTAATCCTCATTAGCAGTGATGATCCACACAGGAGTGGTCATGTTATTCTCTAATGCCTAGCAAGAAGTCCACCCAACATCCCTCCGGCCAGCATCCCTTCTCCTGGGGTTGCCTGACAGGCACTGCCCTGCTGCTCAGCCCAAACAAATTGGTCCAGTCCTCTCCCTCGCCATGCAGTGGCCTGGGCAGATAAATGCCTCCTTAGATCATGCAACCCTCTGTATCCTTCCTCATGGCTGTGAGGCACAGGTACATCTGTGCAATTCCAACATCCATGCAATTCTTCCATGACAATTCGATTTCAACCTGTCCCTCCAACTCTTTGTGGTAGGTGGAAGACAGAGGTAGCTGTCAGAGCCTAGGCACTGTTGGCAGCATTCTTTCCCTGCCTCTCTTGCCACTCTTCTTTCTCTACTTGTGTCTCTGGACTTGAGAGGGACCCTGAGGTGGAAACATGCGCTGGGCTTCTTTTCAAGTCTCTTTGGTCTCACTAGAGGTGGTGCCACCTTCTGAAGCCAAGTATCAAGCACCTAACTGGACATGGTGGTTCCTGCCTGCAATCCCAGCACTCAGGGAGGCTAAGGCAGAAGGATAGCAAGTTTGAATTCAGCCTCGGCAACTTAGAGATAACCCTGTTCAACACAGAAAAGCAGGGCTAGAGTTGTTGCTCAATGTGAAGACCTTGAATTCAGTCCTCAGCACTGGACAAAGAAATCCGGCATCTTTTACACAGGCCTTGTCCTTACCCAGTGACCCTGCTCTGGGGCAAACGACAGCCTTGTCTCAATATTCAAGTATGAGTGGTGATAGAAGAGAAAAACAAAACATTCTAGATAGTGTCTGGAATTATTTGTCTGCTCTGTACTAAGCTATGTACAAATAAAGTAAGTAGTTTCTGGGCAGTGATTATACTTTAAGGGCCCTTTGAAAAAGAGAATAACTTATTCCATTTTCTTCCACAGGTGTGGCTTTAAAATGTGTAGTTTTGGGTACCTTCTAAGAGGTTTATGGGAAGAACTAAGCAGTATCTGAAAACTCACTGTAAAGGGAGAAGAGAAGAGCTGAGAACTTCTAGGCCATTTTTGTCTGGAAGATTATTTTCTTCCCATCCCAGTTCCTGTCCTTGGCTGCTGTTTTGCCTGGGCCCAAGAAGACCTTTTTTCTCCATGGCTGTGCTTCTCATGCTCTTCCTTAATCTTGACAGGACCACTGGGCAAAAGAAATCCTGGCGTCAATTTCTCCTCTGCACGGTGAAGAGTCACTGGCATTAACAGGAGGAAAAGGCACACAAATTAATATTTGTGGGGCATTACAGAAGAGTAAGTATCTAACAACTCAGTGAGTCTGAGAAATTATATAACTTTCCTCACAGGAGAGTGGGAAATGAAGGATGTAGTCAATTTTGAGGGGTAGTAAATGATTTTTAGAGAATTTAGAGAAACAGACAATGGTCTCAGATAAGAGCCCTCTCATTCTAGGTGGTGACAGGTTGAGGAGAGGTGAGGGTTGGCGGTGGGCCTTCAGGGGTGGAATTGCTCTGTGAACAAAGGTTATTGCATTATGCAAGCATAAACTTTCTCAGATATTTCTCAGATGAATCTGTGAAACGTCTGTGTGACTGTGTTGGAAGGTTTTCAGCCTTTTCTCTGACAGTATTTCCTGGTTATGTGATGAGCTTCGCAGGGGGTGAGGGTTATTGCATTTCTTTTGGAAGAAGTTCCCTCAGTCAGATGAGGGAACTTCCAAAAGAGCCTCCCTGTGCTTGAGGGGAGAAACAAGAGGAGACTGGGAGCCCCTGGATTCTAAGGCAGCTATGAAGTTCTTCCTGTTTCCTTTAATTTGAAGTGCTCAGCGTTTCAAGGGTCATTGCTTTCTGGGGGTGTTGCTTTCTGAGCCCAACACTAGGAAGGAGAGATGAGGCCTACTTTAACCCTTCTTGTGGCCAGCATCACTCAGCTATTCACAGGGAGTTGGGGCCATGGGCAACCAAAGTGCCAGGCCATATTTGGTCAGGATATCCCAATTTCTGAACACTGATATATGGCTGTTCCCACCCCTGAAACCTCCGACTCAGGAGCACTGACACCCAGACACCCCAGGAACTCCCATGTATGCACGAACGAGCTCAGAATCAGTCCGTTCTGAGGTAACCAGCTAACACGCCTCTCCTCTCCACGTCCAGGGGCTTTTCCTGTGCCTGGTGAGAGATATCTCAACCTTGCCAATGAGGAAAAACGCGGGCACTGCTTCCCTTACAAGCCCTAGGCACAGTGAGGAACAGAGCCATGGGAATGAGGCTCAGTTCTTTCCTGAAGGGGCTGAGTGGTCACAAAGGCTGGGGGAGGAGTTACAGAATCAAAATACAGAAGTCGTTGTTTAGTCTACACAGAAGCTGAAGAGGAGGATAGAACTTTCTACCTGTATGCCACAGCCCCAGGCTAGCACATGTCCTTCACAGCTGTGCCTTCAGATGCAGGTCAATGTGTAAAACTCAGTTGTGAGCTAGTCAGTGCCATATTCTGATGGCAGTCATAGGTGAGAGGTGTGTTGAGCTGAACAGGCAGTGGGGATGTGGGGTGAAGTTAAGCACAAGTTGCTGCAAAGAAAGGCAGAGAGCAAGGTGGTGGCAAAGGCTTTCCTTCTTCTGGCTAGAACAATGGAGAATATCACCTCCTGAGAATGGGAGCATGTAGTCAAGGCAAGGAACAGTTGTCCTCAAAGAGTGACCCATGGGGAAAGGACATCAAAATATCAGGGCATGATAGTAAATATAATTAAACTTCCACACATATCAATAAAAATCCTAGGTTTAAAAGTCCCAGAACCACTGAGTAGTTATTAACATTTTGAAATAATAAGAGAAGATTATAATAGCCTCTGCCCCTGATGGCTACACTTTCATGAACTATTTCATACTTGGGGGTAGATTTTGTATGATTCAATAATTTGTGATAAGTACATATTTCTCAGTTTTTCAAAAGCAATCAACAGAGTAGTCAAAAAAAAAAGACTGGGAGTAAATAAGTCAAGATGTTAATATAGTAATTCCCAGTTGTAATAATATGAATGATTATTCTTTTCTTTTTAAGCCTTTCTGTATTTTTTAAGTGTCTATAGATAAAATGAAAGACACAAAAGTAATAAAAAAAGCTCAAACTTTCTGAAAGCTTTAAGGTTTCATAAGTGTAGTTTTATCTACTCTTCACATCAGATAAAAGGGACACAACATATTTTTTCCCATTTACAAATAGGGGAAACTGAGGCTAACGCTCTTAAACTCCTCGAGCTCACACAGCAGGGAGGGGAAGGAATCGGAACTTGAACTCAGGTCATGTGACTCTTGATTCTATGTTTCTCAGACTTCTGCAAGAACAGTGTATTTTTCTGATGGCTGAACACTAGCATACGTTAGAGGCAAAGCTACTTGTTCTCTCTTGCTGTTACCCAGGAGGAGTAACCACTGCAGATCCTCCAAGACCAAAAGAGTGTATGGGCACATACCAGGTTAGGAGAGAGGTGACTCTGGAGACAAGATGCCTATCAGGAAATGAGCAGGGCTTGGCCAAGGACGTGAGGAATCCTCAGATCAGATCTCAGAAGTGGGCCCCTATTTTTAAAATCTCTCCTGCAGAATATGTATAATGCAGAAGTCTACACATCATCCTGACTTGTCGTCTGTGTAGGAAAGGCTTTCATGGTCATTATTCTAGTTACTACTGCAGAGTTACAAATTAACCCAAAACTTAACACTTGAAAACACCCATATTGGTTTGCTCATGATCCTGTGGAACAAAAGACTGACAAGAGCAAGACCAAGCTGTTCTTTCTTGGGGGCTCTCTTGTGGTTACAGTCAGAAGTTAGCTGGAGTTGTAGTTGTCTGGGGGCCCATCTGGGTTGGTTGTTCCAGAATGTCACATGATTAGCAGCTGACATTAGCTGAACCAATCTGGCCGCCCAAGGCAGTTGGACTTCATACCTAGGATCTAGCTTCCCTATGGACAAGCATCTCAAAAGAACAAGGCTAGCCAGGGATTTAGTTCAGTGGTTTCACCACCTGCTGCACAAGCACAAGGACCCAAGTTCAACCCCTGGTACCAAAAAAAAAAAAGAACAAGGCTGTGAGATCAGTTCTGACCCCACTCAGAAGCCATGTAGCACACTTTCACTGCATTCTGTTGGTTAAATGAATCATCACACAGACTAGCTCCCAAGGGAAGTGAATTAGGCTTGATCTGTTGGTTGAAGAATGGCAATGTCACTTTGCAAAAGAGCCTGGGGGATGAGAAACATTGTTTCAGCCACCTCTAGAAGGTAAAATCCCCCTCAGTCTTTATTCAGTCTTTATTCCAATGTTTTCCAGTCTTTGTCACCTTATAACACATACTGAAAGCATGACAATGTGTATGGCTCGTGACATATCAATTGGGAAACTCTGACAGCCTATGTGAGATAAAGAAAGCTTCCTTTCCTTACTTCATAGCTAGTATACATTCAAGAGCAAGATTTCTCATGGGTAATTCTTGAGCTAATGGAAAAGAAACTTCCTTGCTCTAATCCTCTATGCTATAGGTGTTTCCGTTATAAAGATTTTTATATCCAAAAGCTTTGAGACAGTTTTTCATCTTATCTGCCTTAAACATTAAAGGAGAGAAAATGTGCATTCTTCATGCATGGATCCAATAAAAAAATAATAACTGTAATGGATCGAATACCTCAGATATGTTAAAATTCAAGATTTCATAATGATTTCAAAACAGTAATGACAAGAGAAGTCACTACGGTAATTTTCGGAGGTTTTTAAACTACTAGTTCATTCAGAAAACTGGGAAATAGAAGGAAAGGACCAAGGGTTTATCCTGCCTTTCCCATTGGAACTGCATTTCATGGTATGACGGTGGTCGATGTGCTGCCTCTCCACTCCCAATCTACTCTTCTCTGCTCTGCTCTGTGGTTCTGAGGCTGAACCGTGTCAACATTTCTAAGGGGTCAAGCAATGTAATGTTAAGCTTTTGTCAGTAGAAGGTACTGGAGGGACCACAGCGGGGAGTTTCTCTTTCGGCTCCAGCTAACCTTCTTCCTTGTTCCTCAGCAGAGAGTAGCCCCAGAAGTTACATCAGCAGCCCTGTGGGCAGCTCTCTATCCAGCTGTGTCAGCCTCCCAGTTGGCAGTTTCTTGCTTGCCAGCCCTTAGCCTAAAGTACTTCAATCCAGGACCTCACACTCTCTCGACCCTTGGGGTTGGGGAGACCCTTTTCCAGTTTGTCATTTCCTAGAGTGCTCTGACTCAGCTGTAGAAATAGTGACAGTTCCCCATATCTGTGATTCATATAATATTTAGTTTAATGATCATTAATAATTTCTTGTATTAAAATTTTTCTACTCTAATCACTGTGTTTTTTGTCTTCTGTCTGGATCCTGACTAAGTCATGTGGTTACTGAATTAGTCTATTTTCTACTGCTATAATAAAATACTTGCATCTGGATAATGTATAAAGAAAAAGATCATGGTTTTGGAAACCGAAATTCTGTTAGCTGGCTTTCCATTACTATGACAAAATACCTGAGATAATCAACTTGGCAAGAGGAAAGGTTTATTTTGACTTAGGGTTTCAGAGATTTTGGTCTCTGGTTGATTGACCCCAATGCTTTGGGCCTGGGGTGAGGCAGCACCTCATGTCAGGAGTGCCCAGCAGAGGAAGTTGCTCACCTCATGGCAGTTAGGAAGCAAAAGAGAAAGATAAAGGGATCAATCTCCCAATAGCCCCTCCAAGGCACATCCCCAGAGATCTAATTTTATCCCACTAGCCTCTACCTCATAAAGGGTCACATCTCAGTAGTACCAGAGGCTGGCAACCAAGACTTTAACACATGGCACATTTGGGGGATACTTATCCAAGTCATAACAAAGTTAAAGCTGGGTGACCCCATTGGTTTGCCCTCTGGTAAGGGCCTAATGGCGGATGGCATCAAAATGGTGGGAGCACAGTCAAGAGCAGTCATATGGTAAGGCAGGAACGGAGGGAGAAGGGAGGGCCATCTTCCAGTCTTGCTCTTTTGTAACAACTTTCCAGAGAGAACAAGTCAGGGTTCCATGAGAACTATATCAGTTCTTTCCCAGGGCAGTCCCAGCCTATCCTGTGGCCTAATTCCCACAGGTGCCACCTCTTACAGGTTGCATCTCCTCCTGCATTGTTACACTGAAGACCAAGCTTCCAACATGAAACTTTGGGGACATCCTTAAACTGTATCCAAACCAGAGCAGATAACCGAATAATGGATGAGGGAAATGTGTATACAATCCCGCCAGATAATGAATGTG